TCATTCTTATATTCCTAATTATATTCCATTCTTTCCATTCCAAACCAAATTATTAATCTTTGGGGTGAGAGGGGGGTGCTTGTTTCTTGGGTTGGGCTTAAAGTTAAAGTTTTAAAAACCGTTTTGTTTAAGTGCTTTTTCGTATACTGTTTTTGATGAGTTAAATTTTTTTTCATTGGAAGAATTTTTTGATAGATGATCACTTTTAATATTCTAATCCAGATTTCTCTTTAAATAATTTTTAGTTAGAAGCTTATATTATGTGTTAACAACATATAAGATATAAATAGAAACAATAAACTGGTTGTTTGATTTAGTTTAAAGGTAATTTTACTGTGCTGTACTTTATCCACTCACTAAATCAAACTAAATATAACTTTAAAACAGTTTTTTTTTTTTTTTTTGTTCTTTATTACATTTTAAAACATGGCGTTATTATTTTATAAAATTTAGAAGCTAAAATAAAAAATATAAACATTTACAAGTGAAGATATATATATAAAAAGAACGCAGAAACTCGTAGAAGACCGTAAGGTCTTGTCGTCGAGTACCGCGGTAAAAAGACGTTGTTACATTTTGCAAGTTAAATATTTTACGTAGTAAATAAAAAAGTGTTATGCAATAATAAAAGAATAACAAGATTTAAATTAAAAAAAACTACAAAAAAATAAAAAGTTCACAAAAAATTTCTTAAAGATTATTGGACAGATAGTATAATAGCAATATAGGCTTGAAGGTCTTAAATAATTGAGTTACAAATCATATCAAGAAAAATCATACATTATAAATCAAATAAACCGATATAAATAATAGATAAAAAGAATTTCAAAAGGTTTAAAAGAACGTTTGTATATTGTCATTTTCAACAACTACTACGTTCAACTTTTTTTTAAAAGATATGTAATTCCATTCAAAAGAAAAATCAAAGTTATTAAAGACAATTTTGTTCCAAAGATATGGTCCCTGAAATGATACGCAAAATTTACAGTATTAGCTTCCACGCCGAAATTTAAAGTGATTTAAATTCAAAAGCTGTTCGAAGAAAACTGTTGTACTTTATGACACCTAATAAAAAACTCAGGCAAAAACATTACTTTTAAGAATGCCCATAAAAAATGCTAAATTAGAAAAGAAAAAATATATATAAAAAAACAACAAAGTTAAAACAAATTAACAAACAAACAAATTGTTAAAATATAAGAAAAAATGCCGAAAAAAATGCCAAAAGAAAAAAAAAATTTTTTCAAAAAAACATTCAACCCAAGCATATTTCAATTCCCCCCCTCCCCCCTTTGTTTATTAATTTTTACCTGCTATCTAAAAAAAAAAGGTGAACATTTTTCTTACAAGTTATAAAATATTTATTACAATCACTGATAAAAACAAAATTTTTTCTGTGTAAATAGCCTTTAAAAATCACCAACCAAGTAAATCCCGATTTATCGAAAATGAACTTTTAATTTATTGCTCACCCAAGTGTAAAACTTATTAAATCCTATTGAAATTATTATAAAACAGCTGTTAGAAAATGTGCATTTGACCGAAAGCCACATTAAATTTAAATAGTTTTATGTTAAATAGTATGTTTTGTAAAAAATATTAGTTTGGATTTATAAACTAAAATTTTTTACAAAAAATACTTATATTGTAACATAAAAAAATTCCTTTTTCTTACTACAATCTAAAAATTCAAAAATCATTCCACATTTTATAAAATTGTTCCACAATTTCATATTGCGATTCATAGAGAGCTAGATAACGTAAAATAAATGTTATTTGCTCAACATGCGATAAATCTTTTGTAGAATCTACAATTATTGCCTAGTAGTTGCGGAATTCCAAAACATGCTGCTTAACAAGATCAGAACATTCTGCAATAAACTCATTTTGGGAATCATTTGAGAGATTCTATACTTGAAGTCTTTAACGTTCTCCTAAGAAAAGGTTAACATCAATAACTCTTCTCAAAACTTTGTACCATTCCACTTTAATTGATAATTTAATAAAATTATCAATACCGTCTTGCATCGAAAGACGTTCTAAATCCCCCATGCTAGATAGCATTCTTTATAGAAGTAAAGAATTAATAGAAGAAATAGAATTAAAGAAGCCTTATGGTTGCTCCATACAAGCCAGTTTCTGTTAGGCTGTTCTGCATTAATGTATCTAAAATTTAATAAATCTTCTGGAAATTTTTGATTATTATCATCTTTTGGCAATATTAAATGAAAGTCAATATAACCTCTGGTAACAAAATTGTTTATTTCCATTTAAAAAGGAATCCAATGTCAAGTTTTGTACTTGATTGGTGAAGTGAATCACTACTAATTAAAAGAGTACACCTAATTAAAAGAGTGTCCGTATTCTTTTTCTTTTATTGTATATTCTTTTTTGTGCTCTCGATTTGGATGCATTTGGATATTTCTTTACCGCAGAATCTTCAAAAACCAAGTTGATAAATCTTAAAAAAATATAAAAAATTATTTTTTTTATTTAATAAATTTAAATAAAAATCTTTTTTTTTATTTGCATTATTGACCACTACAGGATTAAAAATATGGAAATCAACAAAGTAAGAAATTAATGGAAAAAAAAAAAAAATTCAAAAAGATGAAAATGAAATACTTTGCCTGGTGCGTCATCATTTTTATGTGTACTTTCGTTTGGTGAACTAATAAAGAAATTTTTTTTTTTCAGTATTTTAGTTTTAGTATTTTAGAATCTGTCTGGTGAAGTAATGAAATAACTTTTTTAATTCTTTATTTTCAGGGTTTGCCTGGTGAGCTAATAATTCAAGGTTGTATGAAAATATTGTCTCAAGCAATAAATTCGTTTCGTGAAAGTTTTGTTTATGGTTTCGCCACTGTTAGTAACATAAAATATATTATTAATTTAAAAAAAAGTTTTTATCTTAATCAAAATATTGGTGTCAACACTTCTCAAAATATCGAACTTAGTACTCAACCTTCGTATTGTTGTTATACTACTGGGTCTGCCATAAATAAAACGTTTGATTGCAAAAAATCTTCTTCATCAACAATAAATCTACCAAAGCCGGTTTTTAACAAATACAGTAGACATTTAATCAATAAAGAGGATATTTGTTCAAACGAAAAGAAAATAATTTTAGATCGATTTTGTCGTTTATGTTGCTTTTCCTCAAATGAAACTGTTTTAGAACTGATTTCCAGTCTCTATGAAGCCCATTTCAATAACATGGCAAATTTTGATAGTTTGCATAATGAAGAAATACCTGAGCTTAATCTGAAATGCGTTTTCACTGAAACATGCGTTAACACATTTAAGTCTAAAGTTTTTGACGGCATACTCGTTCCAGTTCCATCCGAAAACATTTCAAATATTTCACTATTGCAACATTTTCAAAGCGGTATTAAAAACGTAATCTTAATTAATACAATTTCATATGGTGTTGACTTGCCTTGCGTTGATGACGTCAAAATAGTTGAAAATATTGTATACAATGACTATATATTGTCTAATTCGCCTATTTCTGAGCAGGTTATTAACACGTTGTTGAAGTCAAATATTGGTATTATTATACATAGAGGCGATTTGGGTGCAACAGCAATAACTGAGTTAAACCGTATAGGCATATTAGATATTCAAATAAAATCTTATTATCGACTTCACTGCTTGTCTAGATTGCTATCTGTGAGTATTTGCTATGATTTGAATGACCTTTCTCAAAAAAACATTGGACAGGTTGAAGTTTCACAAATCAGTTTATTTGCTGAATCGGTTAAAAATACAGCTGTTGCAGATAATACCAGAGTTTACTTAAAGTTAAATTCAAATTTTATGAAATATTACACAGTTGTATTATGCGAGAGAACTTTAGATTTGTTAAATCTTCTGATAGATGAGTTTAACTACAGCTTTCATCGAGTTCAAAGTGTTTTTAAAAATAAAATGATAGTATTGGGATATGCTGAAAACGACATTGTCAGTATTTTAAAAGATAATAAAAATGTTAACAAAGTGGTGTTACGTGGTCATAACGTCACCAAGTGCTATCATTACGTGAATGATTGCGAAATGTTTTTTTATTCTGATTTTTTAAAAGAGCGTGTTCTTAAAGTTTTTGAAAAGTATTTGCAGCTTTTTTTTGATCGCACCGACATTGCGCAATTTTTTATGGAAGATTTTCATTTTCGTGCTGGATTATGGGAAGATTCATTAAAATGCGCGAGTTTATTAATGAAAATTGATGTGGTAGAAGTAAATTTTTAGAAGCTTTTAAAATGTTAAAAAACTTAATAAAAAAATAAAAACTTAAATAAAAATTCTGTTATTTTTATAAAAGACTTCTTTAGAAAATAAAATGTTTTCGTATCCTTATGTTTATATGTATATATATATATATATATATATATATATATATATATATATATATATATATATATATATATATATATATATATATATATATATATATATATATATATATATATATTAGGGTGTGTCATACTTTAGTCAAAACTCAAAAATTCATATTTACCAGTGGCATTTTTTAAAAAAGGGTGAGGTTTAACATATGAAATTCAGAAATATCAAAAAATTTGAATTTAAATGAGTTTAAGCTACCAGGGAACTGCCTTGAAAATTGCTGAAAAGTGTGAATTTTTGATATTTTTATACTTTCAGGGTCATTTTCAATATTTTAGACTTATATCTGTTTTACAACAACCTTATCTTAAGAAATTAGGAATAAGGAAAGGAAGATATGAAAGCAGGATAAGTAAAATTCATTTAATAGTTATACTGTTTCAGAAATTTTTATGAATACTTAAAAATTATTATTTTTTCTAAGTTTTGCGGCGTTAATTTACATCTCTTCCCCCCTATTTTTATTTTTGATTATGATAGAAAATTTTATGCTGATTAAGAATTGTATAAAAACGTAGCTCTGAAAATTGAAGCAAAGTACTCTAATTTGATCTTGAAGTTTAAAAATTACACTAAAAACGCTATTATTCACCTTCTTTTTTGTACTTCTTTTTGTACTCTTTTTATACTTCACCATCTTTTTTGTACTTTGTTATGATTAAAATTCATTCAAAAGTAAACTTTGAAAATAACATAAACAACCTGGTTTTTATTGTCAACAAAAAACGAAACTGTTTTTTAGTAGCTACTGATTTAGAGATAGGCAAGGGCTTTAAGGAAGAATAATGATATAAATTGATACCTGCCCCAACCCTGACCCTTCGATGTGTTATCAACTCTCTTGCGAGTTCTCCCTAAATCAGTCGATGTATGTACTGAAGCCCTCGCCTATCCCTAAATCAGTAACTAAGGGCAAGAGGGCAAAAGTTAACAAACAGAATTTTACGCAACATTACCTTTAAAAGTTTAACTAATTTTATAAATATAAAGAATAATTTATGTAAAAAAAAAAAGTTTATTTTTTAATTATAATTAATAATTGTATTTTTTTTTAAACTATGTAAATTTTAGTATCGATGAAAATAAAAACCAGGTTGCGTAATTAAAAATAAGATTTATAAAAAAGTGTTTAGTTGCATTTAAAAAAGATAGCGAATATTAGCGTTTTTTGTGTAATAAATAAACTTCAAGATCTAATTAGAGTACTTTGCTTTAGTTTTCAGAGCTATGTTTTTATACGATTCTTAATCAGCATAAAGTTCTCATAATCAAACATAAAAATAGGGGGTAGAGATGTAAATTAGTGCCAGTTTTGTATGTAATTTAAGTTATACATTTTAATTGAGGTTCTAAATGGCTACATAGAAAACATCATTCTAAAGTTTTTTGTTTTAATATTTGTTATGCAAGTTATACACACACACACACATATATATATATATATATATATATATATATATATATATATATATATATATATATATATAATTTTCAAAATTACTAGATACAAAGTATAATTAAATTTAAAATGGCTGCTGGAACAAGATGGAGAAATGATTCTTGTTTACGCCAATATTTGGGATCTGGAAAAGAGTTGCCAACAGCTAAACTGCCAACACTGAGAGATGTCCTAAGATATGGTATTTTTTTAAGAGAAACAAGCAAACTAAACAGATGAAACTATAGTAATTCTGATTTGATCCAGGATATTTATAATAAACTTTCAGAAAAATGGCAAATGGCCAGTGTTTTATTTGTGCCTCCCGTAATTAGTTTAAAACATAATTTGGTAACAAGACTTAAAGTTGCATGGAACAAAGCTAACCTGATTTCTCAAAATAGAGCAAGTAAATTTATAAAACAAAAGTTTAATTTAATTATTGACAAACTATTTGATTTAGTGGAGTGTAACTGTAAAATATCTCTTTGTTCTGAGCAATGCTGTTCTACTGACTGTAAAGTTGGTGCCCACATTACCTGCATATGTCCTAGGGAGAGAAAAATACCAATAAATGAACTGGTTTATGTAAAAGGTATGAATGAATATATGAAAGTCACTATAAAAGTGTTAGTAAAGCAGAAAACCAAATTTTATTATACTATACTGATTTCTTTGATTATTTAAAAAAAAAAAATTATTTTAATTTGTCTGGTTGTAAGCAAATTGTTGTCACATTTTTTTAGTCCAACGAGAAAAGATTGGATCTTTAAGTTCATATCAACTTGGGCCTGCTGATTTGATGGAGTCCAAAAAGTTCAAAAAAGTACAAAGTTGCAAACGAAGAAGAGAAGAAGAAAAACAAATGAGAGAAAAAAAAACACACTAATCAAAAAGAAAATAATACGCAATATGAACAAGATAACGAACATGAAAATTATAAAGAGAAATCTAATGAAAATGAGATTTTTTCTAATCAAAAGCCTTGTACAAAATATTTTAAAAAATCTAGAAATTATGAAGATATCTCTAATATTGCATTGGCCAGTATTCGATATGGTGTTGGTTTAAGAGCAACTGCAGGACTTGTATCCCAAAGTGACACTAGATTAATAATAGATCACAGTAAAGTTCGGAGAGCTATGGATAAAGTCATGAATGAAGTTGCTGTTCAGTTTGATGATTATTGTAATAAAGAGATTATTGACTGCATATTTTTTTATGGGCGAAAAGATCTTACTAAAGTATTTTTAACTGTAGATGGATCAGACAGACAGTATCCGGCTAAAGTAAAAGAAGAACATTACACTGTTTGTTCTGGTGATGGTAAGTATTTATTTCATTTCACTCCAGCTAAAGAAGCAAAAAAGAACCATGCTGAAATTATAGCAGATAAGATTATTGTGTATACTGCAATGAGAAACATTAGTACACACTTAAAAGCAATTGGCGGAGACTCTACCAATGTAAACACTGGTTGGGATGGAGGAGTAATGCACTTTATGGAGCTGAAATTAGGGCGAAAGTTAAATTGGATTGTCTGCGCTCTACATACCAATGAATTACCACTCAAACGTTTAATTAAATTGTTAGACGGAGAATCTAAAAGCAGTACTAAATGGAGTGGACCCATTGGAAGCTTACTTGATGAAGCAACCAATCTTGAAATTAACCCTTTTTTTAGTAGAGTGGAAACTGGTGAGCCTCTAATTAAGTTGAGTAATGATGTGGTTAAAGACCTTTCAACAGATCAGTATTATGGCTATCAAATAGTTAAAGCTATACGCAGTGCTCATGTTCCTCAGCAACTAGGACTTCTGGAAATTGACCCTGTTAACATGGCCAGATAGCTAACAACAGCCAATAGAATATGTAGAATTTGGGTATCTCATCATGGTCTTCAAGGCAATGCAGCCCAAAACCTTCTTAAACTAGTCGAGTTTATTGTAGGAGTGTACTTTCCTGTCTGGTTTAACATCAAAGTTAAATATAGTTTGACAGAAGGACCAAAACATGTTCTTTACCAGCTTAAGTTGCTTCAGCACCAGTCACTCGATATTCAAAATATGGTCATTCCAACTATTAAGCGATCTGCTTGGTATGCCTTCTCTGAATCTATTATTCAAACTATGCTTTGTTCTGAAAATAAAGAGGAGAGAGATTTCAGTGTAAACAAAATTCTTGAAATAAGAGGAGAAGGTGATGAAAATGTACAACTTGGAGATCTATCTGTTAGACGAAGAAGGACACCAGACATCAATACTAAAGCAATTTGTCTCAAGGACCTTATTGATCGAAATGAAGCTTTTGAACCACTTTTGACTTGTTGCATGACAACTAAAGACATCAAAGAGTATTTTTTTAAACCAATGATTGTACCAAACTGGTGTTGCCACACTCAAGCTGTCGAAAGATGTGTATAAAAAGTTACCCAGGCTTGTGAAAATGTTTTTACAGAAGATAGAAGAGATGGTTGGATTAAAGGACAAGAGTTGTCACAGAAGTTGATGTCGCAAAATCTATCTAAACAAAACCTTATTGGCTTGACAATGTTTAAGAATTAATCTTTATTGTACTTTATTTTAATGTGCCAATGAATGAAAGTTTTATTTTTAATTTTAAAACAACCTAATTTTACAGTTTTAGTGGGAGGTAGTGGGAGGGGGGCAAACCACTCTAGTTGTTTTTATACAAATAATTATATTTTTTTTTAAATAGAGATGACGTTTTTTTGCGTTTTGTAAGTTTTTTTTAAAAAATACTTCATTTTTTTAAGTTCATACCTCCCCCTCCCCCTGGGTTTTTGGTAAATTAGTGTCACTGGTTCCCTGGTAGCTAAAACTTTTTTTTTTTTTTTTTTGTTGAAGGTTCTAAACTTGTAATATTATACCTCACCCTTTTTTAAATTATGCGAGTCAAAATTCAAAAAAAAAAAGAATGACACACCCTAATATATATATATATATATATATATATATATATATATATATATATATATATATATATATATATATATATATATATATATATATATATATATATATATATATATATATATATATATATATATATATATATATATATATATATATATATACAGTATGGTGCAAAACTGAACCAGAATGCATAATATTTTTATTTTCTTATAAAGAATTTAGCATTTTGAGAAATAATATTGTTGGTAGAAATTATTATTAAAAAAACAATTTTTATTAAGTATTTATTGAAGAAAAATATTTACTTACAAAATAATAAATGGAAAACATGGTGAATCACTTTTGCACCACGCAAAAAAAACTGTCAATTTTATCAATTTTTAATATTTTGTCCATAATCCTTTAGCTTTTTTAACTGTTGCTAATTTTCTATTTATGCTCTTTACAAGATTTTTGCAAAGGTTTAACGAAATATTTTCTCACTTTTCTTGAACTCGTTCATATAACACATTAATGGATGATGGAGGGTTATTAATGAGCGCTTTTTTTAATTGTGACCACAAACTTTCTATTGGGTTCAAATCAGGACTTTATACTGGCCATTCTAGCACTTGAAGTCCTGTGAAGCTAACCAATTCTTAACCATTTTAGCAGTGTGCTTTGGGTCATTGTCCTCTTGAAAGATGACCTCATTTATTGGATAAGGCATATTTTCAACAGTTTCCAATAATCCGTGCTGTAAAATATCAAGATACATTACCTTATTCATGTTTCCAACTATTCTTCGAATTGGTCCCAATCCATAAGCCGTCATACACCCCCATAGTTTAATATTGCCTCCCCATGTTTTACTGTCTGTTTGGGTTAATGGTTCACCTTCTCTTTTCCAGCTCCATTAGCGGCCATCAGTGGTATACCAATTAATTTTACTTTCATCTGACCAAATAACTTTCTTCCAATCATCTTCGGTAAAGTTTTCATATTTTTTAACAAAGTTTAATCTTGCTATTACAAAGTTTAATATTGCTATTTAATCTTGCTATATTTTTTTTACTGAGTAATGGTTTTTTCTTCTTTTCAATTTGCTTCTCTAGTAGTCAAATATCTAATTACTCTTCTACTGTCTACTGCACTCAATTTTTTTGGTCGACCGCCAACATTTTTTTTTAGAATATGTCTACACTTTTTTCTAATTCGTTGCACAGTACTTTAACTAACTTTTAATTAGAAGCAATTTTACGAGTTGTATTTCCTTCTTTGATCATCTTTTTTATTAAATCATTCTCTGTTTTTGAAATTCCTATTATATTAAAAAAACTATCAAAAACAATGAATTTAAACAATAAAATTTATGAAAATAGAAAATTATTTTAGATATAAATATAGTCAATTGATTTGCGCACAAAATTATTAAATTAATTTCAGAAAAATAATAAAGATATTGCCTTCATTAAGTATGGTGCAAAACTGAGTCATAAAATGTTTGTCACTAGATAAAAATACTTGTGCATTGGGGTAAAAGGAGAAGGCATAAAAAGTCGTAAAAATTAGCACTTTACTACTGTAATCATCCCGACAGCGCTAATATTTCGAAAAACAAAATAAACCATAATTTTGTATTTTTTAAAAACTCTGGTTCAGTTTTGCACCATACTGTATATATATATATATATATATATATATATATATATATATATATATATATATATATATATATATATATATATATATATATATATATATATATATATATATATATATATATATATATTAGGGTACTTGCTTTTGAGGAAATTTTTGAATTTCAATAAACGACCCCTTCAAATGTGGGACATTGGTGATAAAAATAACTTTGGAAAGAAATTAGCCTGATTGGACCACTCTTGAGCCTCCCCCAAAGCCCATTTATTAAAAAAAAAGGTCAAAAAAACGCCAAAAACGACTATGTTTGAAGGGCTAGGGGGAGGTGATAATATAAATAATTTTAACTGATTTTTTTTTCATAATACAGGTATTGATCTATATTTTCAAATAAAAAGGGTAGTTAAGGCAGATTATGACTATTTTTTCTGTTTTATTGTGTTAAAAAGTGTTAAAAAAGCGCAAAAAAAAGAATTATTTTGCCGCGAATAGGTCTAATCAAATAATACAATTAAAAGTGTGTTATAAATCTTTAATTAATTAATAATTATTTAAAACAATATTAAAGTTTGTTTAAAAAATTTGGTTGTCAATTTTTATTTTTCAATCATTTTTTCCATTATAGAAAGTCGATCAACCTCTTTTTAGACAAGTTTAAAGATTTTCTACCCGGCTTTTTTGTAGCCAATCTAGTTTTATCAACAGTAAGCAGTCTGTTCTGAATTTCTTCTTCATTGTATCTGTGCACAAATTGTTGCATCATTCCTACTGCTATTTACAACAACTAGAGATTTAGCAAAAGCTTTGAAGATTGTAAAGCTTGATTATGTATACCAATACTGAGGCGGGAGGGTAAGCCAATCTCTAATCCTTTGTTTATCCAACCCAATTCTATCAAACATCAAGTAGGAGAACTGATCAACTAATAATGATAAACTTGGGGGATCATTGTAAACTCTCGTTTCAACCTTAATCTTGTTTTTCACGTCAAAGTCTAAATCATTCAACATTTCTGTATCATTTTCATCAAAATTTGGTTCCTGATCCAAATTTGCTGTTACTTCTAGAGTGCTGTGTTTTCTTTTGAATTTTTTCTTTCGAATACTCTCTCTAGACATTTGACTATATTTTTTATCCTCGGTTCCGAGAAAAAACTTTCTATTGCTTTCTTGGTCATCTAAAAACTTCAAATCTTCAACTTTGTCTTTATCGAATCTTTTCTTGTCAATCATGGCATGTCTAAGATTCGGTGTACCAATCCAGAACACTTTCTTCATCTTCTGTATAAAATTATTTTGTTTTTTTAAATCTGTAGGCGATCCTCTCTTTTCATGCTTTTTTAAACTGTAGTATTCTTTTTCTAGATTACCTAGATGCTTTCTAAGGGTTTTGTCAGAAACTATTGGAAATCCAGCTTTATTCCAATAAGTTTTAATCAAAGATAATATGCACTTGCATTTTCCATCTTTACACAGACTCTCTTTCATTTTATTAGGCATGCAATATAGTATTGATAACTTTTTCGCGTTTGATTCCAATGTTGATTTGATGTAGTAAAAGTTTTTCAGTATCTCCATTCCAGTTGGAAGTTGTTTACCTTAATAATATAAAAAAAGTATTTATTTATGTTAATGATAAACATACTTCAATACTTGATTACTTATTTTAAAAGTACTTATTTTTTTAAGAAAAGATGTTAATATAAACCATAGTTTTATCTTTTTTTATAAAGTACACATGTGTGCATTAAATTATTCATAAAAAGTAATGTTTGAATGCAAAATAAAGAGTATATAAACATCAATCGACATAATTACTTAATATCGCCTGATTAATTATATAATATCACCTGATATAGCTGGATTAGCTTCTCCAATAAGAAAAAAAAATTTTTTTCTTGACCTAAGCTCTATTTCTTCATCTCTTTTTTTAATTTCTTTAATGTTCATTATAAAACCTAAAACACCATAAGTCATAAAATATTATTAGTTAATTAATAGTACTTTCAAAAATAAATACTGAAAAAAAATTAGTAAGAAAAACAACTAGTTCAAACATACTTGTAAATTCAAGAAAACTGCAAATTCATAAGTTTCTCTCAATATTTGCAATAAAACATCGATAGGGTAACAAGTATTTTATTTTATTTATTATAATCTAAACAAGTAAAATTGTTATGGTCCCACAAATATAATAGAGAAAATAAAATAAATGATAAAAAACAAAATTAAAGTGTAAAACAAAGCCTTTATTCATTCTTAAAATTCGCGGTAAAATAACTCTTTTTTTTTTGCGCTTTTTTAACACTTTTTAACACAATAGAAAAAAAAATCATAATCTGCCTTAACTTTTTATTTGAAAATATCAATACCTGTATTATGAAAAAAAAATCAGTTTAAATTATTTATATTATCACCTCCCCTAGCCCTTCAAACATAGTCGTTTTTGGCGTTTTTTTGACCTTTTTTTTTTAATAAACGGGCTTTGCGGGAGGCTCAAGAGTGGTCCAATCAGGCTAATTTTTTTCCAAAGTTATTTTTATCACCAATGTCCCACATTTAAAGGGGTCGTTTATTGAAATTCAAAAATTTCCTCAAAAGCAAGTATTCTAATATATATATATATATATATATATATATATATATATATATATATATATATATATATATATATATATATATATATATATATATATATATATATATATATATATATATTTAAGTCAAAATAATAAATACAGTACGAACTATTATCCTCATAATATTTTCATCTGTTTTGTACATAGGTTGTCATTAGACACGAAATTATAATAAAATTAGCTTTAATTATATCAAAGTAAAATATGATAATAAAATAAATGAAATAAAGAATACAAAATTAAAATATAAAATATTTAGATGAATAAAGGGTTATTCATACTTATATGCGCGTCTATTTATCCTTATATGTGCATTTATTCATTCTTATATGCGCGTATATTTTTTATTTTTTTTTATTTTTGTTATTTAGGTACCCCAAGAAGACCTATCGGTCTTGTAACAGCTGTAGAAAAAAAAATTTATAGCAAATTGCACATTATTGGCTGTTTACTTCATCAAAATGAACTTCCCTTTCGAGCTATTTTTAAGTATCTTGATGGAGGCACTAAAAGCCCTAATTTGTTTAGTGGTCCAATCGGAAAACTTTGTGAAAATAACTACCAAGATCTCCCTCAAGTTGACTTCATAAAAATTAGCAGCCATGTAGATAACATACATTTTGATGAAAAGACATTAAAAGATTTGAGTAGTGATCAAAGACTTCTTTTAGAATATGTTCTTGGAGTTTCAAGAGGAAATGTTGATCATAAATGTGCAAAGTGAAAAGTTGGGCCATTAAATCATGCTAGATGGTTAACTTTGGCAATTCGATTATAGTGTTTTTTTAGACTAGAGGCACTTATCTTCCAGAAATGCAAGATAAGCTTCACCAAATTATAAAATTTATTGTGCAAGTGTATGCAGTTAGCTGGTTTGAAATAAAATTGGATAATAAGTTTCACAATCAGCAGTTATACATTTTCAGTATGATTAAAAGAACTAAAGAACAGTCTGAGGAAATCAAAACCGCGTTAAAAAACTTGCAACACAATGCTTTTGCTTTGCTGTCTGAAAATATATTGTACTCCATGATGAAATCAGATGAAGATAAAGTCAGAGAAGCTGCTACCAGAAAAATTTTAAGTATAAGGTAAACATAATGTTATTAAAATAAAGTAGTTCATATAGAGTTCCATGTTTTACTCAAAGGTGACAGACAAATGGAAAGAGTCATAATAAACGGTTGAGCATTTTTTTTAAAATAAATTGTAAATCCTTGAAAAATCAAGCTCCAAATTGCTAAATGTGCAATTTTAGGTGGGTATGAAAAAAGTTCATAACTGATAATGCGCCTGAACGTTTACTTCACACCTTGGATTAAAAATATAACAAAAAATTCATTTGTTAAATTTTGTGTTTTTGAAAAAATCTAAACAAGATCAAAAAGAGATTTATATTTTGAAAATTTAAATTTAATTCTTTTAGACGTATGAAAGTGCCTACAAAAAGATTAAACAAAATCACTGCAATAAAAACTGATGCATATCATTGGTTGGATTTAGCAGACGAAACAGGTAATTGTGAGCTCTCACTGAACACATATTATCTAAGCATTTACAAGAATCGTTGCTAAATGGAACAAAGTTTGAGTTTCCGGTTCTGCCATCTCATACTCAGAGTGTAAAGAGAGCTGTGAAAATGACATTTGAAGCTTGCCATACAGTGTATAGAATAAAAGCAAGGCATAAACATATCATTGCAAAAAATTTAAGTCGTCAAAAGAGACCTAATTTTTCTTTGAAGGGTTCGTATTGTCAAAAGTATGATGATCTGAAGTATTTTAACAACAAATAAAACCTTTTTATTGGAGTTTTTTTTTTTTTTTTGTTTTTTTGATACGGCATATTTAAAAAAGTAAAACGACAAAGTTACAAATGAAACTCGTTTTGATGCATTCGCTTCTATAATTAGCTACTGTTTTTATATTTTTTTCAATAAACTCCTCATATCAGCTTTTATAGTAAAATTAAATTTTATTTCCGCAAAAAATGGCTATCAAAAAAACCTTTATTTTTTGTTTTTACTTGTTATTATGTTTTTTATATAATTAATATGATTTTTATATAATTAATATGTTATTATATAATTAATAAAATGTTCTTATACTTTAAGATATATAAGGTTTCTAAAAGGAGGTTATAAATACATTTTTGCTAATGATTTTTTCTAAGCAGCTACTTTTCTTGATTTCAAATTTCGTAAATTCGAGTCTATCAAAAATGATATCTATAGAATTGATTGCGTTTCAAAGGCAAAAATGTTTATAAAAACATTTTATGAAATGCATCTAAAAGAATCCGAAAAAATCGATATAACAATTAAAACAAGTTGTTAAATAAAACTTTGAACTCGTCAAACAGCTCAGCTGACAATACCATATAAACATTTCAATTTCAATGTCTGTTGCAAATAATATTACTTTAGTTAACAACAAAATACGAAAGTCAATCAACTTAATTAAACTAGTAACAGATAAATATTGTTGTAATTCAATTGAGAGCAATGATAAACTTGAAAAAATGATTACAGACTGCAATACTTTCAGAGCTACGAAAATAGTTCCATTGAATTTTTCTAAGCTAGTCGCAAATTGTTCCCGGTTTTGACACAAAATGCACGGATAATATTTTCAGTTCCAGCGACATCCGTGCCATCAGAATGTTTATTTAGTTAATAGATACGGAGCTATGGAACAGGCTTATTGAAGCAGTAAAAGAAATCAATTAATCAAAAACATTTCTTTATTAAATTATATTTTAGTAAAAGTGTATTTTATAAATCTTAGTAATTTAAAGCACTTGTATTTTTTACAAACAGCTTAATTAATGACAATATGTTTTCTGCTATATTCTTTTCAATTCTGGAAAAAACACCAATATCCAATCATTGAGCTCCATCAGGGCAGGTGCAAGTAGATGTGACGTGATGGGGTGTCATTTAAATTTTTGTTAAGTAAACAATTAAGTCCTTGTTTTTTGAAATTTGACGACTGATTTGTCTAAAAAGCCTACATTTCGCGAGGTTAGAATTATTTTGTTCTATCTCCACTTTTTGAAAAAAATGAATTATTAATTGTGTAATGTACCTCAAAATAATGTTTTTCTACTATATTAAAACCTAAGTTAAAATCAAAAAAGTTTCGGAGAAAACATAAGTAATAAAAATCTTTTTATATGCCGTCTCCTAAAGTTTTTATTTTTTAAATCGTTTTATCTCGAAACAAAAAAATGTGGAGATAAAACAAAATAATTCTAACCTCCCGATTTGCCGACTCCTATAAAAGGGTTATTTTTGCCAACTAAATGCACAAAAAAGGCATTGAGGAAAGTGTGTGTGTGAATGATTCGTAAAGTTAAATAATCTTTCCCCGTCACTGAATGGTTAAAAATTTGTAACAGAAGAGGACTAATTTCATAGCTTGCAACAGTAGCATTTACTGTTATGATATTGCCCTTTTTTGAGAAATCTTGTTGTCCTACCAACTAATTACAAATTTGATTATTTTATCTTTCCCTAACTTGACGAGAAACTTTATGAACAAAAAAGTTATTAAAAGAGAGTCTACTGTTAACTTTCAAGGAGTGATTATAGATAAAAAATATATCATGGAAATATCATATTAAATCTATTGAAAATAAAATCTCCAAAAATACTTCAATGCTAATAAAGTTAAACCTTTTCTTAATACGGAGTCTTTGAAAATTATATATTTTTCATTTAGGGAGAGTTAGGGCATAGTGGGTCGGATTTCTGTCTTTTTTAATTTGAGCAAAAGTTAAAATATATATTTTATCTTTGTCAAGGCTAAAGGATTGAGAAATATATCTTTCATGATAAGAAATCACTAAAATCAAAACATTTATTATCTAACAGCTCACAGAAAGGTTTAAAGTGAGTTGAGTTAAGTGATTCACTGGGGTACAGTGAATCAATTAACACATCTGCAATTTTGTGGTAGTTAATGGGGGCGTAGCCAAATAATTTTGAGGATGAGGATGTACATACATTGAACATTATACTTTTGGCGCACTTTTGGTATTTAAAATTAAGGGGGAAACTCCCCCTAAAATCATCAAAAAAACAAAAATTTAGTATGACCGTTTTTAGACATAAAAATTACCATAGATTTTATTTATGTAATTTGTTTTTCATAAAAATCATTCTAAAGTGCAGAAATTTTAGGTTTTTTAATGGTGAGTTGATGTTTCGATATATCGAAAGTGTAATTTTTTTGTCGTATTTGAAAAAAAAAAAAAAAAAAAAGCTGATGTAAAATCAGCTTTTTTTTTTTTTTTTTTTTTTTTTGGCCAAGTTAGGCATTTTACAACTTTTTGGCATTCTTGTTAAATTAAATTAAATTAATCTGAGTGCGTTTTGTCTCCTAATCTCGCTTACTTTTGCTTAGCTGAACAAGAAGTATAATAGAATGAAACATCCTAACCCAAGCTTGGGTTAGGATGTTGGTCTTTGAGAAAATGCTTATTGTTGTTAGTTAAATAAGTTTTATTAGGTAAATTTTTTTTTTGTCATTATAGATGGTTGCATAAGTTTTGTTATCAATAAAATTTCTTTTTTATTATTTCAATCAGAAAAAATTTAAATTATTTTATTTTAAATACCAAAAGTGCGCCAAAAGTATAATGCTCAATGTATTTACATCCTCATCCTCAAAATTATTTGGCTACACCCCCATTAACTACCACTAAATTGCAGATGTGTTAATTGATTCACTGTACCCCAGTGAATCACTTAACTCAACTCACTTTAAACCTTTGTGTGAGCGTTAACAGAACTGTTAATGATGACTCTCTTTTAAAGAAACTTAATGTGCTTAATGTTTATAAACTTAATATATACCAAGTTATGCTTTTTACGTTTAAATCAAAACATGCGTTATCTCCTAATATATCACTCTTACTTTGCTGAAATATTTTATTAATTTCCATCTAATAGTTTTGTTATTCCAAGATCTTATTTAAAACTCAATTCATTTCAAATATATATTGACAATGGTCAAATAAAAAAATCAAAAGTTATAATTTCCTTGGTGTTTTCATTTATGAAAATCTAACTTGGAAAAACGAAATTTTGCGCGATAAAGTTTCAAAAAATATTGGAGTAATGTATAAAGCGAGAAATTTTGTAAATAGACATTCATTAATTCAACTTTATCACTCGCTAATTCAATGCCATATAAACTATGCAAATATCGCATGGGGTAGTGCTAAAAAAATTCAATTAGATCCTCTATATCGGCAATAGAAGCATATAGCACGTTTAATAAACGTTAAAGATTGATACTTATAAGTAATTAGAGGTTTGTCATTATCAGCTTGACCATCTTAGAAAGGATCGTGTCACTTGTTACTGATTCATTTCTTCTTTTATAAAAGATTTATAAAAATTCTCCAGATAATTTAAGGTATCTACTGGTGTAAAAGGAACGCTTCAGGATTATGAGTATTTGCCTGCATGCTTTTTAATAATAGAGTTTTTATTATGCTAAACATTTTTTTTTTCTTTAAATTTGTATTTAAATTTTTCATAACCAATACAAAACTAAAAAGTTAAAGTTAAAGAACATTAAGAACTATATTTACGGTATAGATTAAGGAGCTTGGTGATAAGAGAGATTATGTCTTCTTTTTGCCCCTGCTATTTGTATATATGTTATGCTTTACGACTTGAATAAATTTATATGGTAGTAAAAAAAAAAAAAAAAAAAAAAAAAAAAAAGATCGTTAAACTCAATGCAGACCTCTTTTATTGGAAATGAATGTTCTTAATACATACCAGAAAAATGTTTTTAATGTTCTTTTATTTATGTACAAATGTAAGATAAACCTAACACCTATATCCTTTCAAAATTTATATACAATAAAACAAAAAAACAAATATGACTAAAGAAATGACATCTTATTCATCAACATTATTCTCATACAAGTTTTGGAAGTTTTTGATCTCTTTTAACATATCGCGGAGCTCATCTGTGGAACAAAATCGTTTGGAAAAATTTTGATTTTTCTCAAAGTTAGAGTTTTCTTACTTTTAAAATTAAATTGAAAAAATTTATCTTGTCAATTAATAATATCTTTGAGTTCTTTTGAGTTTATATATTTAAAAAAAGTGTGTGATTCCTGAATATATTGTATTATTTTGAAATATTTAGTTGTTATATATATTCTTATTGTTGTTATATTCTTTACGTTATTTTATGTTTTGAAATATCTGGTTAGATTTAAATTTTATTTCTAAATGTCATTTATTGTAATTATTTAACTGGTTATATTTTTACTGCATTGTTAAACGGTTCTCAGTGACAAGATCTTAAGATCCTTTTTGAATTCTGAAGAACAATTCAAAAGAGAATCTAAACGTTTTCTATTAGAAAAAAACTTCAATATTTCTTTTAATATTTCTTTTAAAAGTTACTAAAATAATTGAACCTGAAAAAGTCATCACTACTCATTTGTTGTTTTGATGTGTATCTTATTTATTTCTCATTAAAATAAAATATATATACTATTAATTTTAAACAAACAAAAAAAAAAAAAAAAAAAAATTATGATTTATTACTTGTGTTTTATATGTGTAGAATATTTTATTTATTTATGATGCGCGATGAAGGAAAGATGGCGGTCTTAATTCTGAGTTGAAGTTTGGTATACTTTTATTTTAACGAGTCGAAACTTATATTTATCCATCTATTATTAAATCAATGAAAAAAAGTAAATTAAAAAAGTAATTAGTATCAAAATAGTTTATTCGTGATCAATATTAATACAAAGTAACCCTAAAGTAGTAAACAAAAAAACGAGCCATTTTTCATTATCCATTAAACAAGAAGAAAAGAAGCATGAAGAAAAGTATAACATAAATAAAATGAGGAGAAGAACCGAAAAAAAAAAATAACACGAATCTATTGGAAAGCATAAGATT